AGTATTTTCTGTTACCGAATCATGAGACCTCCTAATGGATCCTAAAATAAATATGCTTTCACTTGTGCCAGCTTGAATAGGTCTCTGTTGTTTAAAGCATATTACTTAATTAAAAACACCCTCTCAATAATGGTGTGTTCCATTTTGGGAGAGTTTTAGGTAACTTAAAGATCATGTCTTCTATCTTGTGTTTCTCCTGAAATGATATTTCATGCAATGTTTTCCAATCACAGCCACTTATTAGCCCTTTTTTATTGAATTAAAAATATCCAGTATTGAGGAATGCATCTTAAAGCAACCTTTTCTTCATGCCGATTAAACATATTTTTCGTTAGTTCTCTAAAACTAAAGATTAAGTAAAATTTGTTAGACATCTTTTAATTGGAGCAAATTTTTCATTTTTTTCAGTGATTGTGGGATTAAAAATAATATCAAAGACTACATATTCTTTTGCTCTTCATGGTTAACCTACAGATTATAATATTGTATTCTTAACTTACTACAATCTAATTGAAAATTAAAATTGCTTATGTGACTTATGGGCTACCTTAAACCTGATCCAAATATGCTGTTTCCATCATAAAATGACTTGTTGCCACCTGATATTATTGCTTGGTGGATTTGACAGGACTCAACTCAAGATGAGCAGCTTTAGTCAAACAGTTACTTGATCAATGGTCAGGCTCAGTTAGTACAAGGATGTAAGCTGTAGCATGCCTAGAACTGCTGTTTGAACAGTGACTGGTTCTCTGCTACAGATGGTATGGCCTTGCTAAAAAACTCTTGGAAGCTGCACTGTGACTCTACTCTCAGAACTTGCCAGAGACTCCACAAAGCACTGTGGATTATGTTCAGTTATCTTATTAGTTTTCTACTGCTGTGTAACAAATTACCCCCAAACTTATCAGCTTGAAATATCAATAAGCATTGTGTCATTCAGTTTCTGCAGGCCAGAATTCCAGAAGCAGCTTAACTGGGTGGTTCTGGTTTGAGGTTTCTCTGGCTTGAGGGTCCAGTGAAGATTTCAGCCAGAAAGGATCTGCTTGCATGGCTGTTGGCATATAGCTTTGTTCCTCACTGGCTTTTGGAACAGGGCCTGAGTAACTCAGAATATGGACCTCTCCAGATAACCACCTGAGTGTCATTATGTTGTGGCAGCTGGAGTCCCTCAAAATAAGTGATCCAGTACAGAGAGTAAGAGAATGTCTCAATTCCTTCTATCACCTAATCTTAGAAGCCATAGTCACTTTTGACTTTATATTAGCCACTCACCCCCATGAATGCCCAAATCTTTGCTTTTTCTTTACCCTGGCTGAAATCTTCTGTGAAGGACCATACCTTAAGAGTCTGTCTGTGCCCAGAATCATAAGTGCCCACAGGTAAAAAGAGGTTGTAGATTATCAGTGTCAATTCACTACTTCTTCTAGGCTTTCATCTCTTACCTGTTTTGATTCCAGTCCCACTTCTACAAAGTGTCTATATTCCCCAAGCACAATCAGATAGGGGGAAATGTCCCTCTGCCTTGTATAAGCTTTTTATCTAGTGGGGAGAAACCAGCAATGATTTTGAGTTTCCTTAAATGTCCTATTTTCTCACTCAGCACCAGGCAACTGCTAAAAGCTTTTCTTTTCTCTAGCAGCAGGCTTCTGGCTAGCCAAGGCCAGATCATTAGCCCATACCCAGAACTGGAAAATGTCTCCAGAGATGAGAATAAAAAACAGTACACTGGATAAACAAATTGTGGTATAGTCATGCAATGAATATTATACGTCAGTGAAAACGATGGAACTATTGTTACTAGTAACAGCATGGATGACTCTTAACAATGTTGAGTGAAAGAAGCCAGACAAAAAATATTCATCTTCTATGATTCCATTTATATGCCTTTCAAAATCAGACACAATTTATTACTGAGATTTCAATCAAGACAGTGATTACTTTGAAAGGGTGGACAGTGACTGATAACAGAAATAAGAGGACATTTAGAATGCTTGATAATGATCTGTTTCCTCATCTAAGATGCCAGTTACATGAACACATTCATTTTTTTAAAATTTGTTGTGCCAAACACTCATGATTGGTGTACATTTCCGTGTACGTGATTTACTTCAACAAAAACTTTGCATT